AAAGGGGTTTAAATGTATGGTTTAGGCAACAAAAAAAAAGGCCCGGTAACCAAAGAAAAAGCGTTTCTTTTATTCTTTTTTTTTTTTTTTAAACATATTCTTTATTATTTATTTTCTCACATTCCCCTTTACATCCATTAGTACTCCAATGTAGCTGTATCTGGCCCTCGGTGAACAACGTTTGGACACCCCTGATGTAGAAGGTCTCAAATCCAAGAAATTCATGAGACATGAGAATTTGAAAAACTAAATGTTTAGGAATAAATACAAATGTTTCTAATAGTTTAAGGTCATAAGACCGAAAGGCTTGAGGAGCTTATGAAAAAGAAAGGCAGGAGAATATCAGATACTTCTTGTCCGTACACAAAATGAAAGGCATTCGCTGATATATGAAGTTGCTACATAATATAATGCTTTGTGTGTGATCAATGTTAAGAACCCTTGCTGCTGCGATTTAAAATATCAAATCTCTTCCTTCTGTCTCCAGACCGTTCGGCCAGATTCTGCGGCCGATCCTGGACTCGATCCACATCGCCCCTCCAGGGGGAAACGTCATCAACCGGGGGAGAAACGCGTAACCTGAGAGCCGCAGATCCCCGTGCGCTCACAAGGTCACTTTTATCGAAGTCAGACAGTCAAGATAATTGTCTTTCTTTCTCCTTTCCTTCTGTACATACATTACACACTATAGCATTTAAGCTAATGGCCATTTTGGAAGCTATTACTGATGACTATATAAGCTATTCATAATTTACACCTCCTTAGGATCCACATGATTTAGTTATTTATTATTAAGGGGGAATCTGGAATCAAATTCAATGTACTTGTAAAACACAGATGATTTTTAACATTTAAAACTGACTTTGATGAATGTTGCCTTCTTATAAATACATCTATGGAAAGTCAGATGTCCAATTAAGCTTTTTTCAGAAGTAAAATATAACAGACAAATGTATATTAAAGATTTGGAGCACTGCGGCGTAACTTAGCATTTTCATTTTGCAAGAAATTGTACTTTTACTCCATAATATATATAACATATTGCACTTTTTACTCCATAACATTTATCTCTAGGCTGTAATCAAACCACCTACAACATTAAAATACCTCTTGCGCATTAGTGCATCCAACTTAGGAAGTACAATACATTTTATACAAAAAAGTAAATAGTGTTCCTTTACACCTGGAACTAGTTTAATTCCCATTTTGGTGTTAATTTAATAAGATTTTACTTCTGTAGTTTAGTTATTTAATAATTAATGTAATTGTTTTACACTGACATGCATATCAGATATATTTAGTGTACACTTTTGCATAGATATATATATAATATATTCAATTATATGAAGGCTGTTTGAAGGAACATCAGGATGAAGATAGCTGAAGGATCTTTTAATGTCAACAATATTTACATTTTGCACTTTTATGATTGTTTTGTCTATTGTTCTTTGGTAACCTGTAGTTAAATGTCCATCATTGACCCTTTTATACCTGTAATATGTGTCTGTTTCTGCCGAGTTCAACTGACAAGATTTGATTTGATTTGTTGCATCTTTTGTGATAAAGCAGGTTATTGACACCTAACTCATACTGCAGTTACAATATATATAGAGGTGATGTGAAAAAAACCACATGTTGAGTATGTGTCATTATAGCAGGACTGGGATCAGTTCACTTTACATTTGAGTTATTCCTATGTATATCATCTCTGCCTGAAACGCCTCCATTGGACTCCTTTGTTTACTTCCTGAACTTAGTGACATCACTGCTTAACACTTGCGCTTCTATTGGCTAGCGCTCCAACACATTGTACATGATAGGCTAAGGGGCGGGACATCTGTAAGCGGTTGACCAATCACAACAGAGCCAGACAGCTAACCAATCAGAGCAGACTGGGCTCTGGTTTCAGACAGCACAGGCAGTATGAGAAAAATAAAGAGCTTTTTGAACATTAAAGCATGGAGACATGTGATAGAAGACAAACTAAATACAAATATCAACCTGGAAATGATCTTAATAGGGCCCCTTTAACTTATGTCTCAGATATTTAAGTGAACTGCACCCCGGTCCTGTTATATGACATGAATCGTGCCTCTTTGCCACAGGGAGATGCTGATTATAATTACATTTTATTATACCCTTTTTTTGTTGCCATGTGTATTATAAAAACTGCTCATCCACAGATTTTAAATACAACTTGTTTGCATCCTTTGACAGCCACCAGAGTGTGTTGCATATACAATGCACCTCTGTGCCTTCAATTCCCTCCGCTTGGCGACAGTCACGCTGTTAGGAGCTGGCATGTTGTTTTGTGCAGCACAGATGGTAACTCCCTGTGCTGTCTGCATTCAAACCTGCTAGTTAGGTTACTGTGTGGAGCTCCAGAAAACGTAGACAAATGAGGTAAAAGTGGGTAGAAGTAGTGAGAAAAACTTAAGTAGTTTAGTAACACTCACAGCCTATAATATCAGTGCATTATACACGGCCATCAGAAAGAACAAAAACGGTCTAATTTCAAGCTAATTCATAGTTTTGACATATTTAAGGTTTGCCTGGTAAAGACAGTGTTCCCCATATGAACCATATTGAACCTCGTGGAACGATCAAACGAAAAAAACAAGGAAATAACAAACAAAATAACTAAACCAGCATTAAATGTCATTGCATTTTCCTGCAATAAGCAAACATCTCACAAATGTTACCTTCCAAGCTGTGACCGTTATCGTTTCTACCTTGCAGCGTTTATATTTCCAAACCTGATATTTGTAAGTATTCGGCCACTGTTTGCCCATTTGAGAGGCTTTGAAGGCTCAGTTTAATTTGCTCTCTTGTTATTTTGCCTTCTGCCCACCAACTGAGAGACATGCTGAGCAGACCAGTGAAATGTATTCCTGCACAAATCACTCTCTGTTGATCTGACGTGTGCTGGATGCTACCTGTGATGTGAAATTGCAACAGATAGTGCTGGATATTATTTCCTATTTAATGATTCTAACTATAGTTTATGCATATTGTTTGTGTCATTGTTTTCTTTTGTAAATCCACCTAAACATAAAGCCATTGACTGCAAATTTGAGAACATCTGTTGTTATTATTGACTCATTCTTATAGCTTCAGGTATGCATATACATTTTATTCATAGATTGCACATATGATTTGAATCATTTCGGAGGCAATAAGGTATATGGGGCGTTCTACCAAATTAGTACAAAGTGCGGTCCCACAACAAGAAAAACTATTTAACAAAACAATTAAGTATTCAGACATAGATATTTACTAAGAATATGTTATGGTCTATTTAAACATAAGGCATTACATTAGATAGTGTTAAGCTTAATATATACAAAAACATCATGTATTGGGTACTTTCCCCAACCCTGACATCTACATTTCAATTTCTGTAAATAACACTTAAAACATTTTTATTTTATGTTGTTGAATGGTGTATTTAGACGATCTTTATGATTACATTCAAACAGAAGTTGGAATATTTGATTAATTGTGGGTGTCATTTTTTAATAAAAAAACTATACAAAAATAAATCATGTCCCCAGTTTTCATTTCACTACCGAAACACAAGGGGGTTTAGTCCAATGGCTGAGCCTGGTTTTTAGCCACACCCCTGCATTTTTGACAAGGTAGTGCCATTGCATCCCTGTCCCTCATGGCTGAATGGCAAGTAGCTATATCCCATACTTTTGATATAAATCTGTTCCAAAATCTGAAAATCGGCGTGTACTCACTGTAACCTTAAGAATTGTCACTACCGAACACATATTATCTTCAGTGAAGTAAACTTTTTCGGGGTTTTATGCAAAGTATTATGTTTTTATGTATGTAAACCTCTTCAAAAACGTGTATGCTAGCCATGTACTTACTAGCATTCTTTAGTTATGCTCAAACTTAGCTAGAATCGTCACTACCGAAACAGTCACTAGCGAAACATATGGTTACGTTTTGGTAATTGACATGATCGATTCGGAATTGACAAATTGGAATGGTAAACAGGTAAATCTCATAGTTTTGAAATAAATGTGTTTTAAAGTCTGAAAATCAGTGTGTTGCTTTAAAGGTCTCTTATTATACTATTTGTAGGCATATATTATAAGTCTCAGATATATATAAAAACATGTCTATGAAGTGTTTTGCTCAAAATACCAAACAGATCACACATTCTAGCCAAATCCCCCTCTATTTCAGCCGGTTACTAAAGTGCTGATTCTGGGTCTTAGCTTCAAACATTCACACGTCAACATAAGGCATGTTATGAGTTCAGATTAAGCAATAAGGTTAAGGGAATATGATACAACCTTGAGAACAAAATACTGTGGTCACTCACTACCGAAACACTGGATGTTTTGTAAATAATTAAGTATATTGACTTATCAACTAAAATGATATGATACTGATTGGTTTTAATGTATGTTCGATTTCAACAATCATCAACTCTGGAATCAATATGATCAGTATTATGCATTTTACAAAGAAAGTTTGCATTATGATTTTTATGTATTGCATAAATTGATCTTTGAACTTTGATTACAAATTAAATTGCTTTAATTTATTTGTGAAAACCCTCAATAAATATTTGTTAAAATGCTATTTAGATAAGGTAAAAACAGTAAAACAATCTTAACAGGTTAATATAATACTTTTTGACTACAGTGTATGTACTATGTTTCGGTAGTGACCATTTTTGGTAGCGGAAGAACATTCCAATACAGTCTGAAAATACGATATAAAAATGTACAGTTATTTTACTAGATATGTGTAATTTAGATATGGTACAAAATATATATGGACAAAGTTTTTGGGGAAAAACATACATTTCAAAACTGTTCCAACCTGACTTTGCCAGACATATATATGTATAAGTATATATGTATATGAAATTCATATCTATCATGAGATGTTTACAATAACGCATGCTAAATATGGGGATAATGAATCTTGTATTTATCCCCAAATTTAAATGTATTAACTTTTTCAAAGTCTGGGTATCTCATATTGTGACCTGCAGTTCTTTAAGTGTCCACAGAGAGTCAGTGTTGCTCTGTCTCTAGCTAGAGATGCAGCTTCAGGACAGACATTGATTTTGATCAAAATAACCATTTAAGATTAACTATGACAAATTATAATCCGTATTATGTGTTTCATTATATTCCCCATTGGCCATTGGGAGGCATTTTGGAAGACAATCATCTGCCTCTCGAGCCACAGCCGTCCAGATCTGTCATTTTATCATCTAAACTCTGGGGTAACAATCATGACTGCAGAGAAAGTAGATACCTCAGACATTTCACTGTGCAGCAAAACTGTTGAGCGGACAGATGTGAGGCAGACCTGGTCCATGGCCTTTAGAATCTGCACCTGTCTTTAGAGAAAGTGGATAATAAATGCGAGACAGTCAGCCTGTCCTTGCTCCCTGCAGCCGAGCTGCTGAATCAGCTTGGTTAGCACAATTATGAGTCTCCATATGACGTTTGACAAACGTTAACCTTCTCCCCGACTACAAGGGGACTGTCAAGCTGGCCAAAGTTGTTAGCATGGCAGTACCTCTGTGACAAAAGCCAGTGAGTCACCGACCCCCTGCTGGGGGTGCAAATCCTGCCATGACACATAAGGGTGATTTGGCTTTTCCTCCAACATGTAGAGTCCCTCTTAAGCTCTGGTACAAAGTTCATCTCATGTAAACCGGTTTAAATGTTAAGGGCAAGTGCCATGCAGTTCAGCTCATTAGTCCACAAAATCTGTCTGTTAAAATTAAATGAAAAAGACGAGATTTATTATACGTAGGCTGTACCACATATTTGATATGTACGTCAAGCTAGTATGTTGTCGTGACTTGCTACTTGACTTACAACGTGAATATGTTAGTATATCATTTGTTATTAACATACCCATTTCAGTTTCAATTCAATAATCACTCCCGTTTTAGCTCAATTTTTGGTCTCCACCAACCCTTCAGAGAAATGCTTGGCTCTTAAAAATGCAAGCAGTTGAATGCTAAACTGACCATGCCAACAAACACAATGCCAACATGTTGTTTTAGCTAATGTTTACTTAGCTTACATCTCAGTCTGGCGTGTTGGCATGCTATGATGCTAACATTTGATCATTTGCACAAAACGAAAAGTAGATTTTGAACTGAAATATTTGACAAATTAAATGTTACTAAAATGGCACTAGATATAAAGTTCAGACACCAAATGATTTCTCCTCTTTGAATTAACATATTAAATGAATCAAATTTCATAGCAAACCGTCAGAGTTTTCAAGACATTTGACTTCTAACCAAAAATGTTGTAGCACTAGATGAAAGTCAGGTGCTCCACATCGTTCGTCTTTTAGGCACCACGAACATCTGTAGACCTACAAGATGTTGTGCCAATCAATCCAGTAGATATTATTATATATGAGACTTGAATCCTTCCAACAGTAGTCCAAATATCAGACTGGACCACAGTACACTGTACAAAAGAACAACGTGGCGATGCTTAGGTTATACCACTAGCTTTAATATGTTGGTTAAAGAAGCTTTAAGATGTATTCAAATTCGAAAAAGAAAAATCGTAAACTGTGGCCTCAAAGCTAACCAC